TTTATAAAACTTGAAATAAAATTATCTATCTATCAAGTTCCGTTATCCATAAGTTTAAACTATATATCAATAATATTATTTACTTGATATTATTTTAATTTGATACAATTAAGAACATTTTTAGTTAATATAACTAATTCTTTCATTTACATATTTAAAATGATTTTTGATAATAATATTTTAAAAATTATGGAAAAAAAAATATTATTTATATCAACATTGGAGATGAAGAACTCATACAAGTTTCTCAAATTAAAATACATTAAATATACTAATACTATATTGGTTAGTCAGTGAGTATCTAACCATTGGACATGTTCTTAGATTTTTTGACTAGAGGCGGCCAATAAGCGTGGATATATACACTCAACTATTACAAAAAGAAAGAGAACTAGGAGTCTACAAACGACCCTAAAAAGAGTGTGACGAAACAAACGATATTGAGAATGTCTTGCAAAATAACGGCTCCAAATTAAAGTTGTACTTCATTTCTCACAAGAAACATAAAAATATTGACTATTTGAATTAGTTAAGTGATTGGAGATATGAGATATAGATTATAGCTTGTATGTAAAACGATATATATATGACTTAGTCACTTAGGGATAGTCTTCCCCAACGTTTGTATAAATAGACATTATCATATCTTAATGTGTTTTTCATAAATAGACATTATCACATTTTCTTAGATATTCATTTTTCAAAGTTGTTCTAAATGTTTTTTTTTTTTGAAATTTAGTTGTTTTAATTGCTACCTCATTTCTTCATCTTTAAAGTTGTTCTCCATTCACGACAGAAAAAAAAAAAGTTGTTCTCCATTCTCTTGGAGATCTTCGTCTTAGAAAATATGTAAAAAGCAAACTGTTATTTTGTGTTTGAACATGGAAATTATTTCATTTTTGATTAAATTAAACGTGTTGGAATACTTGTGCTCACCATATTAGGTTTATTGAATACACGAAACCAACGATTGTGAATGTCAAAAAAAGACTCCAAAATCATTCTCCCATTTTACATCAGAAAACATGCATGATTTAGATCAAGCCTCAAAACATAATCCAATCAGATTTATACCATATAGATAATCTATTGATGTTCTTCACTTAATGTGAAAAGCTTTTTGCTGTCTCTCTCTCTCTATGTGTTTTGTTTCCTTCATTCTTCAATACAAAAGATGAGAAAATCTCTCAAGACTCGGTTGGTGTTGTTGTCTCAGGAATCTGCAAAGGAATGGAACTGTTCTCTTCTTTCTCGTCCGGAGGACTCTCGACTTGTTTTTCTTCGACTTGGGAGGTAACATCACCGTTTTCTGGTGCATTCTTTGCGTCGGTGCTGATGGTCTTTGCTAATTTGTTGGATGGTTCTGGAGAGGACGAAGCTGCTAAGATGCGACCGAGACCGTCGTATACGTTCTTAGCATCCATAACGATAGTGGCACCACCCGGATAACACCGGCCGAAGCATGTGGCGCAATGTGGAAAAACCATCTGTAACAACGTAGAACCAAAAAGAAGAAAGGGAAATGTGAGTTACACATTGAGGTGTTCAATCTAAGATAAAACCGAACCGATCCAAAAGCTGAATTAATCTTATTTGGATCAAAATTGAGATGAGATGTAAAATTGGACCTCGACAAAAGTTCGGCAAAGTGAGAGGAAGAGATTGGATTCGTTGAGTCGAAGCATCCGAGTTGTGTTGTATCTTAGTAAGGAGTCCGAGACAGCCTGAAGTCCTTTGATCAATTCAAGAGCAATAACATTCTTCAGACTTAGCGGGGCACAAGGACGTAGTTCATTAAAAGCAGCTGATACACCTGTGGACACAACCGGGATTATCAATCACAATCAAACTGGAAAAAAACACCCAAAAATGCTACGCTTATATTTGCAGCACTTGTAATAGTTTAGAACACTCATCATAATTGATTCTGTATGATTGCCTCACCGTTTATGAAAACTGCAAGAGGCGGGTGCTCCATTAAGAATGATGGAGGTGTGACATCATCTTTGCTATCTTCATTAATACCACTTGAAGGGAAGCCAACAGATGGTAATGGAACCCATCGATGTGAATCCAAAACTAACTGGAAGTAAAACATCATGAGGAAAATTTAATAGAGATTTCAAGAAACCAAACTCTGTTTGAGTTGAGTTCCATGCCAGAACAAAAGTTCAAATTTTGTATTTACCCACCTGAAAATTCTCAACTGCCGTGCTCATGTTCTTGGAGAATAAGTTTAGAACCGCCCTGTAAAAAGCATGTGAGTTAAATACTGAACCTGTAAAGAAATAAGTAAAGATTATGAAAGAAGAAACAAATAAATAAGAAGAATTGTTACTCTTCAAAAAGTGGAGGAAGCAAACCCCGAAAGTCTAGCCCAACCCAACCAAGCCCCACAGCACAGTACTGTGTTGTCATGAGAATAAGGTAAAACGTCAAATCAGAGTTGCACAGCGTCTCGAAAAGGGAATATATGAGATGTAGAAGAACTTAACCATGCACTGATCCAAAATATTTGATAGAGATCCTCCTTCAGTAATCTTTGGAAGCATTATTTTCAGAGTCTTCAAGTGGGATGTTATTTGAAAAATTTGGCCAGCTAAACAGAAGTCCACCATCATAATTTTCTTCGCTCCCTGAGGTATCATCAGCAAAAATAGCTCGATATTGATTAACCACATCAAATAGGTGCGTTCTGTGACAGGTTATCATTCCTTTCAAATACTCATAGGCATTTTTCTGGTCTAGATCCTCAAGAATTCCGGTAAGCCATGCCTCTCGGCATCTTAAGAACTGCAAAGACAAAAAGAACCATTCAGAAGTGAAGGCATAGCTTACAGAATGAACAACTCCATAGACCAAGGGATACAATGGAAGATTAAAAATCAAATGGTTATATGTCAAGATAGTTCACCTGCAACCTCATTTCATACTCGCCAAAGACTCCTATTCGGCGTAAGTATCCAATAATCCGGAGACATTCAGGCACCTGAAATAGAGAGCAGAAACAGCTATTGAGCCTCCTAGATTGCTAAGCCAAGTCATGGTTCACTGGATACAAACAAAAATTAAACATTCACAGGAAACCTGTATGTTTGAGCGTAGTTTCTGGAGTAGCTGTGAGAGAAGTGACTGAGTTGTTTGTCTAACCTCTACTGCAAGTGCTTGGATAACAGGCAATCTTGACATTGAGAGAAGATTAATTCTTAAGAGCTAAAGCTTGAAGTTTCGGGCCTTAAGTAGCCAAAGGAAAAAATATCGTGAGAAAGAAAACAAAAACACTCACTTGGGATGCATGGTTGCAAGTTTCGATACAAATGCTTCCAGGTCAAGAGCTTCATCAAAATTTCCGTTTCTCACACAACTGATAAAGATACAATACATTTTGAAGAGTACTTAGAAGTTGCTTAACATAAGGAATAAAATTCGCTTTTCTCTCATGAAAGGCATGAGCAGAGATTGATTAAACTTTTTGGCACGAGGTCTAATAGCTTACGTGTCCATAAGCTGAGGAATCTCAAGCAAGTCAAGAAGAGTGCTGTGATTGGCCAGCAAAGCTTGGTTCATCTTCCTCTTCTCTAGAATATTCTCAGCAGATTCGATAAATTCTGTGCAACCAGACGTTAGTTTTGGGACTTCGCCAATCTGCAAAAGGTTAAAAGTACAGAATGCTGATATCAAAATCTGAAGTAACCATCTCCAAAGGATGCAATTGCTCTAGTCAGATGATACTTTATGTAGATGTGCAGGAACCCCTTTCTCTGAAAACACGGAAAGCTCAAGCTACATTCCTAATCCAATGATTTATTCACCTATTCTCAAGACGTTAGCTTTCTACTAGCCTACAACTCAACACGATCAATTTCCCCATACACTGAGTCTACATTACTATATAACCTGAAAAAACATGGTTCTGCAACTTGACCTGATTCCAATCGGTTTCCTAAGTCCACTTTAGATCATGGAAGGCTCCAAACACAGATGCCTAAGTACTCATTTCAGATCCTAGGAATGACACTTTGCCACTGTCACTAACCGTTATTTATCACCCAGGATTCAGAGCTAACCAGAGAGACATAACCACGTGAAGCAGATTAGAACTCAATTCAATAATTTACCAGAGACTCGAGATGCTTATCAATGGAGGATACTTCCTGCCGGATGGCAAGCAAAGCATCAGCAGCTGTGATAAACGCACGGTAATTTCCAACAGCCACCTCTTGCATTTGCCTCTGAATCCGCTCCGCATCAACTCGAAGCAGCTCCGGCTCCTTCAAATTTCAGAAACCGATAAGATTCAGAAATCCATCCAAACGCGGAGAGAGATGTCCAAA